GAATTTTGTCAGCTTTCAGAATATATGGTCAAATTGCCGATTTGAGTGATTAAAATGGTCGAAATGATGAAAAAACCAAAATTTCGACCTAGGTCAAAATTTTCAAAAAACTGAATTTTTTTCCAAAAATACATATCCAAAATGGGTCTACTGTGGCTTAAAAGATTCACAAATGACTCAGCTTGCCTTTTAACCTATACATATGTGTTAATTGTACATATATTTGTGTATAGGAAGAAAAACCTAGGTTTACCCAAGGTATGAACAACACAAAAACACACTAAAACCTACATAAATTCTACAATTCTTCACCAAATTCGATCAAACCTAGTCTAAATTCAAGAGAATTTTGTCAGCTTTCAGAATATATGGTCAAATTGCCGATTTGAGTGATTAAAATGGTCGAAATGATGAAAAAACCAAAATTTCGACCTAGGTCAAAATTTTCAAAAAACTGAATTTTTTTCCAAAAATACATATCCAAAATGGGTCTACTGTGGCTTAAAAGATTCACAAATGACTCAGCTTGCCTTTTAACCTATACATATGTGTTAATTGTACATATATTTGTGTATAGGAAGAAAAACCTAGGTTTACCCAAGGTATAACAACACAAAAACACACTAAAACCTACATAAATTCTACAATTCTTCACCAAATTCGATCAAACCTAGACTAAACTCAAGAGAATTTTGTCAGCTTTCAGAATATATGGTCAAATTGCCGATTTGAGTGATTAAAATGGTCGAAATGATGAAAAAACCAAAATTTCGACCTAGGTCAAAATTTTCAAAAAACTGAATTTTTTTCCAAAAATACATATCCAAAATGGGTCTACTGTGGCTTAAAAGATTCACAAATGACTCAGCTTGCCTTTTAACCTATACATATGTGTTAATTGTACATATATTTGTGTATAGGAAGAAAAACCTAGGTTTACCCAAGGTATGAACAACACAAAAACACACTAAAACCTACATAAATTCTACAATTCTTCACCAAATTCGATCAAACCTAGACTAAACTCAAGAGAATTTTGTCAGCTTTCAGAATATATGGTCAAATTGCCGATTTGAGTGATTAAAATGGTCGAAATGATGAAAAAACCAAAATTTCGACCTAGGTCAAAATTTTCAAAAAACTGAATTTTTTTCCAAAAATACATATCCAAAATGGGTCTACTGTGGCTTAAAAGATTCACAAATGACTCAGCTTGCCTTTTAACCTATACATATGTGTTAATTGTACATATATTTGTGTATAGGAAGAAAAACCTAGGTTTACCCAAGGTATAAACAACTTTGACCTCTATCCCGACTTTGACCTCTAACATGACCTTGGCTTTGACCTCTGACCCGACTTTGACCTCATTCTTGACCTTGACCTCTAACTTGACCTTGACTTTGACCTCTACCCCAACATTCACCTCTATCTTGACTTTGACCTCTAATTCGACCTTGACTTTGACCTTTATCCCAACTTTGACCTCATTCATGACCTTGACCTCTAACATGACCTTGGCTTTGACCTCTGACCCGACTTTGACCTCGTTAATGACCTTGACCTCTAACTTGACCTTGGCTTTGACCTCTAACTTGACCTTGACTTTGACCTCTACCCCGACATTGACCTCATTCTTGACCTTGACCTCTAATTCGACCTTGACTTTGACCTCTATCACGACATTGACCTCTAACATGACCTTGGCTTTGACCTCTGACCCGACTTTGACCTCTAACTTGACCTTGACTTTGACCTCTAACCCGACATTGACCTCTAACTATGACCTTGGCTTTGACCTCTGACCCGACTTTGACCTCTTACTCGACCTTGACTTTGACCTCTACCCGACTTTGACCTCATTCTTGACCTTGACCTCTAACTCGACCTTTACTTTGACCTCTAACATGACCTTGGCTTTGACCTCTGACCCGACTTTGACCTCATTCTTGACCTTGACCTCTAACTTGACCTTGGCTTTGACCTCTAACTTGACCTTGACTTTGACCTCTACCCCGACATTGACCTCATTCTTGACCTTGACCTCTAATTGACCTTGACTTTGACCTCTGAACCCAGCCTTCACCTTGACTTTGACCTCTATCTCGACTTTGGCCTCCTTCTAGACCTTGACCTCTAACTTGACCTTGACTTTGACCTCTACCCCGACATTGACCTCTAACATGACCTTTACTTTGACCTCTATCACGACTTTGACCTCTAACATGACCTTGGCTTTGACCTCTGACCCGACTTTGACCTCATTCTTGACCTTGACCTCTAACTTGACCTTGACTTTGACCTCTATCACGACTTTGAGCTCTTACTTGACCTTGACTTTGACCTCGAACCCAGCTTTACCTTTACTTTGACCTCTATCTCGACTTTGACCTCCTTCTAGACCTTGACCTCTAACTTGACCTTGACTTTGACCTCTACCTCGACTTTGACCTCATTCTTGACCTTGACCTCTAATTCGACCTTGACTTTGACCTTTACCCAATTTGACCTCTACATGACCTTGGCTTTGACCTCTAACTTGACCTTGACTTTGACCTCTACCCCGACTTTGACCTCATTCTTGACCTTGACCTCTAACTTGACCTTGACTTTGACCTCTATCACGACTTTGACCTCATTCATGACCTTGGCTTTGACCTCTGACCCTACTTTGACCTCTTAACTTGACCTTGACTTTGACCTCTACCCGACATTGACCTCATTCTTGACCTTGACCTCTAATTCGACCTTGACTTTGACCTCTATCCCGACTTTGACCTCATTCATGACCTTGACCTCTAACTCGACCTTTACTTTGACCTCTATCACGACTTTGACCTCTAACATGACCTTGGCTTTGACCTCTGACCCGACTTTGACCT